AAAAAAAAAACTAATGTCAGGAAGGGAATGTAAAACTTTGCAAGACTCCAAACTCAAAACATAATCATTTCAGATTAGACTTCTTTGTTTCTGTCACCTTCGGATTGGTGCTTAACACCTCTGGACATCATGTCAAATTAGCACTAATTGTACAAGGGTGATGTGCAGATGCCGGGTTGTAATTAAAGCAAGGAGGGAGGCCATCAAAGAGGAGGTGAATGGGGAGTAGCTGAGGCCTTGGTCCTGCGACAGGGGCCTGAATTTATGTTTCCTCTGACCTGAGGCGTAATTGGTAGTGGGCTGGGGGGGTTCCAGAAAAAGGACCGGCAAGCGGACAGTGGCCTGTGGTGGTTTAAAGGCTGCGTGTTATTAGAGAACTGATAAACACCGTAGCGATGCTAAGCTTGAAGGAAGCGGTGAGCAATCGCTGTCCAGAGAGACTGTGTGGTCATTTTTATGCCACATTATTAAGTATCACATGGTTTCCCTGTTTACTAGGTAATCGTGCCGCTTGTTGCTCGCAGCTGATTGTGCTTATGTACATTTAACTTTATTTGAAATACTGTTTGTGATCTCATAAAAAGCAAAGTGTTTTTTTTTTTTTTTTAAAAGGTTGCCTCATTATCTCATCAAGCTGCTGTCATTCTCTGCTCATTCCCACTTAAAGGGCTTTCACTGACCGCAAACTCCAGAGTGGATCAGAGAGAGTTTGTGTTTGTGTTTGTGTGGCTGGGCATGGCTCTGTGACACATGGTGCCCCAGGAAGATATTTAAATGTCTTGCTCTTATAAACAAGTTCACAAGAGTGCAAGGATGAGAGGCTTTGTATTTGATCTGGTTACACTTGGTTCCTAATTGATTTGCAGAAGTTTCATTGTGTACTTCTTTTAGACTGTCTGATAATGTTGAGCCTTGCTGGTCGCTTTCTTGTTTCTTTCCATAGGTTGAAGGAAGCCCAAGAAAACATCAAGAAGATCACAGCAGAGAAGAGAGTCGAAACCAAGAAGATCAATGCCAACAGTTTGGTAAGAGCTGATCTGTATTCAGAAACCAAATGGAATTTCCCAAAAGCCGCTCTTTCTTGTGTCGCAGCTGAAATCGATACGCTGAATCTTTTTGTGGTTCTTGCCAACAGAAGGAGAGGCTGCGACAGAAGGAAGCCAGCGTGTCCTCCAGCTGAGCAAAATGATAAGTGGCAGAGCAGAAGAAGCACGGACCGGCGGTGGTGCGCCAGGAAGGGTGCAAGGGGCCCATCCATCCTGCAGTTACCACCTGCCTCAGCAGCACTGGACCCTACCCTCTGTTCACCGTACAGACTCACAATAAAACATGGTCAGACTTTTACTACTCCCACTACCGTATCTGTGCCCCACTAACATCACTGGACATCCCCTCCCCTTCCCCTGTTCTCCACTGCCTTCGCTTCGAGGCTTTTTTGGCACAACCCCAGTTAGCGAAGACGATTGGCCGCCGCAGCCGCAGCGAGGGGAGTCATAAAGGCCAAAGGGTTGACCTCATTCATGCAGCATGGCGTGACCCCTGAGTGCCCAGCTTGTGAAAGGTCTCCAGGGTTCAGCGGGATGCACAGCAGAGCCAGCTGACACATCCACAAGCGTCCTTCTGGACCTCTTCAGAAGCACGAGAAACAGTTTCTTTTCCAAACTGTATCAGATGGCATATGTGTTAAAACAATGCTCCAGCGGGGGCTGTGTTTCTTAGACATTGTTGTCGACTTACGAACAGATATGGCTTTACTGGAAGTGTCTGCTGGGAGGGGAAAGAAAAAAATCACTGTTGACAAAACAGATCTCTCACTTGGAGCAGGGAGAAAGAACTTTCCTGTGTCTTTCGCTGTAGCGGGTAGCTTTTCATTCACCACGGCTCATTAAAAGTCTTGTAAATATGTCATGTAGTAGAACTGGCAGGGACTGTGTACAGCTTTGGGAAATATGATAGATGATCTATGCTGGGCTTTAAGTGTGGACGAAGACACGTTGTGTAGAAATTGTCTATAAGTTGAGTGCGTGTTTAAAAGGGGCAGGGGGGGGGCCTATGTGTAAGAATGTGAGGTTTTGCTGTATTGCGTGTTGCACTGCACCAGACTGACCTCTCCTGGGTGACGGCCAGAGGAGAGCAGAAGCTAGCAACAAATCTGGCCCGGAGCCTCGGCTCACACAAAATTGTACTTAGAAAAAATAATAGTAATAGTTTTGAATGACACAACAGGTTTTGGCGCTCACCTGCAGTTTTAAAGAGAACTTATTAATCCTTCAGTGAATGCTGTACATGACGTTGTCCCAACACAGTTTTAAGCTGCTTGCTTTAGCTGTATGTTGCTGCACGTCGTTTTACCCCCCCCATCCTGACCGCATGTGTTGTTTTTGCAGCTGTCTTTCACTGTTTTGCACCTCCTTTTTCCTATGCAAGAGTAACGTTTCCCGTTAGAAAATGTATAAATTATATTTCTTCATGATGAAATCTTATTTTATTTTTGAACAAATAGAAAAAGTGTAATAAAATCATGCTTTATTTTCACTAATGTAAGATGTAGCTATGCTCCTGTATCATTAAAGAAAATTGTATTTATGTAACAAAATTATTTTATGCTCCCCCCCCCTCCCAAAAAGAAAAAAAACAGCTTTGTTTTGTATATTTTGATTGGTAACTGAATTGACTAAGAAGTTGCTTGATAGGTCAGTTGATTCATGGGTATTTTTTTTATGTATGTTGTAAAAATTTCCAGCGTGCTCATGGAAGTCGAGTGCTTTGCACAGAATAAAGACAGAAAGTTTAATGTTTATATTTTGGAGTAATGATGACTGTATTTTGGGTACTGAGAACATTTAAGATGATCACCTGGAGCCATGCAAGATGTTATACCTCAGATTTTCATCGTCACACTATCCATAAACTGCCCCTTCGATCGATTACTTGTTTTTACCCTCCAAAGTCTTTCACTTGTGCCATTTATTTTGTATACAAATCTATATAAGTCGAAACTTTAAAACTGTTATATTTTACTCCAGAGGGGTTGGAAAAACAAAACCAGAAACATAAAAAATAAAACTAGCAGATGCTGACCAAGGAATTGCTGTAGCCTCTACTGTATGTATGTTGGTTCATGTGACCTTCAGTAGCTCTCATGTGAATACTTTGTAATTTTATGGAATTGTTTTAAATTTCAAGAAATAAACTGTGGGATGCTGAATAAGTGGGGCTTGTTTTGGACGAAGACGTGGACTTTGAAAGATATGTTAATGCGGCTTCTTTCAGTTTTCTGCTGTCAACGCCTCGATTTAGGCCCGCGCTGTGAAAATGTGATATTTATGTAAGGAACTGGAGTCATTCGATGATTCATAATTCAGCCAGACTGTTCAATAAACTGTGAGTCAGAAGTTGTGCCTGTTCCTGGAAATCTCCTGAAATAAAATAATTGGGAGGAAATTCTCATAACATTGGTTTAATGGATGTAAAATTGAATGAGGTTGGTATTTTAATAATTTGAATGAGATCTAAAACTGTTATTACATAATCATTAAAAAAAATACTTTTTATGTTGATCAAATAAGAATCAGAAAATTTCCAAATGATTTTTTTTTTCCTTTTTTAATGAAATGTTGGGACCTCCCTCAACTGTAACTGACATCTATGTGAACCAAAGTAATGCAAACTGTGACTGAATACATCAGTGGTATTTATTGTAGACTGGCTAAAGAACAAAGCCTCTAATTCTAAAATCTTTCCCCCATCACCCACTTATTTATAAATATGTTGATTTAGTAGAACATCTTTTCATTTACACTTGAGAATTCCCTTAAGAACCTGACAGATTTGCGAGCCTTGTAACCAGATGCGGTGAAATTGAATCCCATCATTTCAGCAAATAGCTGGAATAGCTGACTTGCAGCTTTTTTTCCAAAGCGGACTTTAAAATATATTCCAGGGTCTGAATGCGAGTAACTCGGTAAGATCCTGGCTCAGTGCAGGAGGGGAGCAGGAAACGGTGAATGGAAGGATTTAGCTTTTTTTGTTTTTGTTTTTGTTTTTTAAACACAGCAAATAATTTTCGCAGTATTCCAGCATCCATTTATTTAGTTTTCGTGGATAATTTAATCAAATGAATAAACAAATGGGTTACATCAAAAATGGCTTAACATTTTACAACTATTTCACCTCGGTAATGTATAAGCCACCACTGTACACTTCCATTTAAACTAACTTCAGAAGCCATAGTTTCTATATTTGAGTAAGCTCACAACTTCAAAAAAATAAAAAATAGAAAGAAAACTTCACTAATGGACTTCGAAATTCACAGAAATCAATTAGGTTAACCTTGAACGATTCTTGAAATATCGAAATAAAATCATTTTTTTTCTCCTTTTACAAATAAAGTCGTTCGCCTATCAAATTCCACACAGTGGAAAAATCCAGTTTAGCAAACACATATGCGTAAAATGCAGGATGGACGGAGACGTTTAACAGTCACAAGGACTGTTTTGGAGCAGTTAAATAAAACCGGTGTTCTGCAGTCCTGTGGGGGCGAGGAAGCCGTGCGTAAAGCATGCCCATTCCAAGTAAGAGTTTCCGTGCAGTGATCTTTTTTTTTTTTAGTCTGGTGATGTGTAACAAGTTGCTTTTGACGTTTTTTATTTTGTTTTAAGTTGCATGTCCATATTGGCTCACGTGCTGTACAGGAGAAACGTAAGTATCAGCGTGTGCGGTGCTTATCTCCAGATGGAGACAAGCACAATTTCTTGGCTGTGAGACAGCTATCAAGTCCACTAAGAAGAAGAAGGAGAAGAAGAAGGAGAAGACATGAAACACACACACATAATCGCTGTGTTTTAGTCCAGGTCTATGGATATGCAGCGACACTGTTTGACGCGCTGGATGCGCTTCTTCTTGGTGGGCGGCTGCTGGTCCGGACAGTTCAATGTGAAAGTCATTGTGGTAAAACGCTTCGGTTTACAAAACGAACACGACTGGAAGGCGCCCTCCTCCCTCCGGATGTGCCTGGGGATGTAGAAGGAGTTGCACTGTCCGTAACAGAAGCGGTTGATGATGGTGCGGCTGACGCAGCCCTCCTCGTGGATGGTCTGTTTGAGAGGTTGTGTTTTGCACCAGTCCCGTTTCAAATACTGGCGCTCCGTCACATGTAGAGCTTCCTGGCTGGACTCCAGCACTTCGTCGGCGGGTGAGGATGAGCCCGGCCTCTGGCGAGAGCCCGAGCCCGCCTGCGGAGTCTGCGGTTGCTGCTCCGATTCGTTTGGGTTGCTTTTGTCAGGATGAGGAATGGCGCCTTGTGAACCTCTGTTTCTTTTTGAATCCACCGGAGAGGAGAGCAGCCCGATGATGAAAACCATACTGTAGAAGATACGCGTGGAGTTGGCCATCCTTGTAGAGAAAAAGAAAATAATTCGTCACTCACACCGTTTTCGGCTCTGCATGGGTTACGCACAGCTGTCATAGTTTTTACGCTGCGTAAAAACGCACCGAGGGAACTTTTTCCCCCCTTTCTTCTTTGTTGAAACAACATGAAAAGGAGGCTGAAGTTTAAAAGCAGTCATTCATTTGAGTCACCTCAGTCCAAATAAATGACAGAATAATATAATTATGTTCCCATAATTATCCATTCTCCAAAATATTCCTGCCAAATTTATCTAAAAACAGTAATAAACCATGTCACATGTCCTGTAAACCGTTAGTGGCTCCACACTTGCGCAGCAAGAGATAGAAAAGCATGCAGTTTTACCATTTCTATAAGTTATATATCATGATGTTTAAAAAACAAATAGAAATACCTGCTATGCAACACTGCTGCTACAAGTGCGATGATCTGGTCCTCGAGCTTCACTGCGGCACCTTTCGAGATGATAGGTACCTACTGGTGTCGACTGTGCACTGGTGGGACTGTGGATGGGTGGGAGACTAAGCGCTCCATAGACAGGGGCCAGGGGGTTTAATACAAATTGCTACAGCGCCGGACTGTCTCCCTTTTAAATGTCTGCCAGCTGAGATGTGCACAGCAGTTATTGGCTAAGCACGATGTAGAGAAAATCAAGACTATCCGCCCCCTCAACAGTTTCCCTTAGCCCACAGACAACCGAGAAACAGTGAAAGAAGGCAGGCGGGGAGGGAGAGGGAGCTGAGTGCGTACTGGGGAAAAAAGTAAAAGTGCGATTTTTGTTTGTTTGTTTTTGTTTACATGTTTCAAGAAGACACTACCATAATACGGTGCATTATATGTAAATGTGCTACTATAAATGAAAAGCGGAGTTCGAGCTGCTAAAGCAAACAAATGCAGTTACAGACAAACTTTAAAAGAGGAGCCAAAATGCAGCACCTGTGAATCGACTCCTACAGACACCAGTTAGTCGAACTCCATTTCCATCCATTAAGCAGGGTGATAGATGTCCAGCCTGAAATAAGGGTAGCTCTTCATGTATCACAGACCTGAGAAAAACAAAAATCATTAAAGGCATTTTTTAAAATGACATTGCTTCGTACAAACGTAAAAAAGCGCAGTGGTGTAGCCTAAGCCAGAGTATATGTTTAATCATTTCACTAATACCTGTTCATGTATGACCCAAACGAGTCACGTGATCTCGGCTTAGTCCATATTTTATCAGCTCAATTGTAAACTATTTGGGGGTTTATCTTATAGATGATGTTGTATCCTTCATGTTTGGCATTATTGAAGGCATAAACATTTGCCTTTTCATTAAAAAAAAAAAAAAAAGTAAATGGTTTTATAAATTGCTGACGTGACTCTAAAATGACCCAGTTGACGGATTTTTATTTATTTATTGTCAAAAACCTGGCATCCCTAAAGTTTTCTTAACCATTCCAGCCCTGTGAAAGGGAACTTTTAGGAAGGTGATAAGTAGCTGCAATACCTTCCCCCAGCATAAACCCAATCTGACGTATTTAGGGGGTCATGACAACGTCATGAGTCAACAACCCCCCAAAAGACCATGCGCTCCGGTCAGTGCAACATGAGATTAAAGCGTGGCATTCTGCCCCAGGTCCAGTCATACCTCACACACATGAAGGATGGCAAGCTTCCAAATGGGCTGAGGAATAAATCTCCAGGAAAGATTTTAACCCTCACCCGATAGGGAAAGGCTTCCGAATCTGCGGGGGGTATACAATGTGAATTTGCTTTCTTCATGCCGGGTTAGTGAAGTACATAATGTTACATTTTTAATAGTATCTGGAGATTTAATTATCAGTTTGAGTCAGATTGCTGACTCAAAAAATAAAAGAAAAATAGTAACAGGTTTTTTAAATCTTTATATAAACTCAACTATGTTTAAATATATGTTGTAAATAACGTCATATATTTCTCAAGTTATATATTTTTCTGGATGGATCTTCAACAAGTTAGTGTAAACACTCTAAACTTCCAGCTGACAAATTCTGGAGGCCTGCACTAACATCCCAGTGCAGCCATATCTTACTTTGCAGCTGTCTGCAGTAGCTGTAGCACTCCCCCTGGTGGTTGCACGGAGTCCAAAAATTGTTCAACCACAAAACAAATCATGTTGTTTGACTTTATTCGTCTGATGCAGTTAGCACAAAAAAATAAAATAAAAATAGCTGAAGACTTGAAAAACAATGGCCTGCAATAGACATGTGATTTCATGAACACTGTTTGCTTTTTTTCCCTCCCCACAAAATCCAACAAAGGTGCATGTTTTCTTCCCCCTGTTCAAGACATGACAATAAGAAAATAATATGGAATAAAAAGAAGGAATAGCTTTCACTTCAGTCAGCCC